GGGCAAAAACCTGGCAGCTCCCATCTGACCCCACAATCCCCTACTGGTGACAGCTCCAAGCTCCATGGCAAATTAGGCCTTCTCATATTACAATTGGAGAAGACAGATTCCATTAGCAGTATCTGAAATTGAGTGGAGAGCTGCACTGTTATCAGACTTGACTCATAAGCACTGCTATTAATCAGAGCTATGATAGCATTTATATATTTCAAGCTATCTGCTGCCGCTGTGATATTCTGCTACAAAGGGTTGATGGGACTTAGGAAAGTGAACAATAGAGCTTTCTGGGAAAAGCAGAGTAAATCAAGAAAGTCTATGACTTCCGCACATTCTGAAGGGATTGCGGTTTACATAAATTTTCTCCCAATTGGAGATTGAGCTCTTCCTCATCTTACACATGGGATTTAGTTGTCACTCAATGGTAACAGCTGTGAAAAGGTGAAGCGGCCCACCGCTCAGAATATTGCCTTCGCTTTTAAAGCAATTAACCCATGAACAGGAGGCTACCTGGTGATATCAAAGGGATTAGGCCAGGCAGTGCATTATTAACATTTCCTTGAACTAATTCTAACTCTGACTAGCTGTCAGAAAAGACTCTACAGTCTTAAAAGAGTTTTTGCCCTGCTTTTTTCCCTTCAAAATGAAGCGCTGCTATTTGAGTCTAATATGTCCCTCTACTTATAAAAAAATGCAAATGAATCAAGCTCTTAATATGCTTAACTAGTCTGAGTCAATGCAATTTTAATACAAGTACGAGAGAAATATATGATCAATTAACCAGGGATCAAGACAGATATTCTCCTGAATAGAAATTAATGCTCCAGTACTTTCCATTCTTCTTCAACTACAAAAACTTGGTGACTATTTGTTACTTATGCGTAGTTACTTCAGAAATTAGAAAGAGCTTCACATTATTCTCTATGGCAATAATCTAAAGTACTCTTTGAGCTGGAAAATCCAAATGTCCCTTAAGCAGGAGATTCTCATTCTCTAAGGTATGGCATTTTAATTTTCTATTCTTTATTGAATGGAATCTTAACGGAAGCTATAAGAATAGCAGATGGTGCTCAGAATCAAGTACTCGCTTTCCAAAATTATAATCAAATTAATTTTTAGCAACACAATGTTTAGGAATACATAATTTATAAAAATGACAAAATCCCGTGCATAAAATATGGGCACTAAATAATCTGCCAGAACATATTTAAATACTACTGAAATTGATCGCAAGTTCTTTGTATTAAATAGAAATAGTTTCAATATACCTTTAATTATTGTTAATATTCATATATTCTAAGAAGCCTGCTTGACATTAAGAAATCTGATTTCTAAATACACTATGTTAAAGATATTAGGGTTTTTACGCAAGTTTTCTAAGACACTGCCTTCTAGAAAACTGCCTATTTAATGGTTAGTAACTTTTTGATTTACTTTCTTTAAAATAAGTATTAAATTTTAATTATAAAAACTAAAAGAGTTTTACTTTCAATTCACATGAGTGTTCAAGAAACACTGATGAATGGATTTTTCTATAGTTCCCATTGGTCATTAATAGTTTGAAAAAGAAACGCTGACTCTCAAGGCTGTTGAGAATATATTCCCTATCCTGTAACTAACAAAATAAATGATGTAAGATATGTTTTCATTTGAAACCATGAGCAAGTTAAATCTTCCCTGCAATAAAGCATTTGTATACAATGCTATCAATGCACTTTCTTCTATTTTAATGATCAGCACATATTAAATGTAAGCATGTAGATGTTTGATGAGAGTAATTTTAGTACTGCTCCTTATTTTATTATATTGGATCTAATTTGATGTTTGCTAAAAAATAACTTTGAAATTCAAGTATTAAGTTAAATGATGTCCATATTTGTGATTTATATTACCTATAACTTCTTGTTTTATATTAATAGGGTTTGGGAATTGCAAATAGAAAATAAGACACTTTAAACATCAGATAATCAAAGTTAAAAGTCGTTTACTTCAAAGGTCTTAAAAGGGAAAATCTCAGTTCCTTAAGTCACTAACTTTATTACATAACCTTAAAAACATAGATTATGTACACAAATTAAATAAGAATTATTTCATACAAATGAAATGTATTAGATTAAACTCCTAACATAATGAATGCCTTAAAATGCCCTTGAAAGGGACAATACATAAATCAGAAACTGCCACAATCTTAACTATTTTTAATTCAATAAATGACAGTGACACATACAGCTTTCAGTGTGCTGTTTTACTCATACACTTTCTACACTAGAGCAAAGCAAGTATAAATGAGTTCTTGCCAACCATTAGGAAAGATTGACAAAAAATGCAGTGTTAATGACATCTTACGGCTTTTAAAAGCAAGAGAAAGATGCAAGAAAAGCAAAAATTACATAGTAATGGGAAACAACGAATAAATTGTTCTTTCAATCTAAGTCATGTTTACTGAAAAAAAGGGAGCCTTTTACATCAACACATTTAAACAGAAATTTGCTTTTGAAATACAATCTTTGTTTAAAAGGTACAGAAGGTCTTTATGTCCACCCCAAGAGCTAAATATAGTGAATTCGATGTGAACAATTACCTGAAAAAAACCTAAACCTGTTAAAAGAATTAATTTACTGCACACCAGTCAGCACTAATCCCACATGTACAGTAATGTTCTCTTAAGTGATGGGAGGGGGAAGAAAGAATAAAACTGTTTCCTGGATCAAAACCCTTCAATATTCAACAACAAAATGGAATGATGATTTAGTCTGTAAATGAATAAAGTAGTGAAATGTCTCCTAAACAAATTCTGATAAAGGAGTCAACCTGTAAAGGAATATATTTACTGTATGCTAGGACTGGAAAAAAGCCATCACTGTAATGGCTGTACAAAAACTGTGTCCTGCTGTTGGGTTTATATTCACAGAAGAAAGGTTTTAGAGGTTAAGTTCAGGTCATACAACAAATGAAATTGTAACAAGCCAGCTGACATTGTATAATGTCTTCTTCCACTCAATCAATAGGCTACTGTTAGTCCTATTACCATAGAGATGGCTTCTCCTTTCTGAAGGGTGTCTATTGTTTGACAAAACAGATTTGCCACTTGAACTAGGTTATTCCCAAAGGACATGTACCTTGTCAGTTATTTGTATTCAAAATAATGAAGTATTTTCATATTAAAATGTATGTGAGAGATAATATTGTTAGATCCCTTTTCGGAAAGATAGTAACTTTTCCAAAGTACTACCTTGCTAAAACCACTCAAATGCCTGGTTTAGTAATATTAAAGTTGTAATTTCAAACACACATTAGCAAGTATAAAAATTTATCATTAATGCTGCATATTAAAAGAAAAGGGTCACAGGCTAGTATGCTTATCTAAAAGTCATATAATGAAGCATAAGCATTAATAAAAGCCATTTTTAAATGTGGACAACTCAAAGGAAAATTATAGTCCAAAGCTATGCAGTATTTGCAAAGGTTTTTATGTATGATTTTTATAGTATTCTCATGTGAAATGCCATAAACAATATGTTGACAAACAGAAAATTTTTGGAGATAAATCACTTTACTTGCCTAAGAGCATTTATATATAGCTGTATAACATTTAAATAGATGTATGTTACATAAAAGATCCTCTAAAACAAAGATGAACTCTTAAAATAAAAACTAGTTTTCTTTAAATGTCTGTCTTAAAATATCTTTATGAAAATTAATAACTCATACATTTGATATACAACAGATGAATCCCAATTTATACCTACATATTTTTAAAAAAAAGATGATCAGTTTTTCTTTCTATGGAAATACTGACAGATTCTGAATTGCAAAAGACTCAGAAGAAATAATTCTAATAAAATTTATTCTGGTAATTTAGAAAAATAAAGTATTCAAACACTAATGAATCAGAGATATTATTTTTAAAATTTCAAACTTAAAGATTTGGCTATCACTGAAAAAATGTAACACTAAATAGAAACAAATTAAATAATAAGCATTTAATAAATCATCAATAATTACAATATTTAAATCTGAAAGCTTTCTACAAATAGGTTTAAAAGTAAACATTGAGTGTCATAACTGTTAATTTTTACCTTTCTATAAATAACCAAAAAAGAATTTAGAAAGAATTTAGCTAAAGGGCAGTGTTATGACCATTATATTATAAAATATTAGTCTCCAAAAATTATACTTGAAATTATGTCTACTCAAATTATACTGTGTTTACATACAAAATGATTTGATTTTATTTTTAAAAACTAGAAAAGTTTTTGAAGAAGTGCTTTAATTTGGTTTTTCACATTTTAGGAAGTATAATTTATATTTTTGCTATTATCCTCTTGGGCATAGATTAGACTAAATTAGGAGTAAAGAAGACAGAAACATCAAAGACAAATAAGTTAACCAATATCCTAAACTAATTACAACTTTTTTAAAGCAAGAGTAGCTTACAAACTAAGAAAGCTTTCCATCAGTAACTAAGTGTGGTCTAGTTTGCCTACCTTCCCTGCAGCTATATTGGAACAAAGTAAACTTAACTAAAACCACATCCCAAACATAATTTTCTTAGTTAACAACCTCATTTCAAAAAGCATACATGTTCATATTTAGAATATAATATATCTAGATTAGATCTGGTGTGAAAGGCAGCTGCCCATCAGCAATGCTGTGAGTAATTAAATGGTATTTACCATTTATCAAAAGATGAACTTCATATTGTTGAATTATTAAACTGGCCTATCTGCATCTTCACAAAATGACAAACCTCATTAGTTCTGCCTAACCAGAGAACTGTGATAATGAACCAGTGACACCTTCACCCCATTGTATGAAGCAGAACCAGCCATGTAATCATGTGAGGGGCCAAATGCATATGAAATTACTGTAAATGAAGAAAGTGAAGTCACGTGAGTTAGGGAAACCATTCAAGCAACAAAGATTTTTTAAATGTATGTAGTTGTTCATAAGAAATCCACATCTCCAATTACTAAAACTTAATTTTAACTAATCAACTTTACCTGAAAACGGTGAAAAAAAGTAATGATGCAGCTACTGCTCCAAATAAGCCACAGAGAAGATTGACTCGGTAGGCAACTGAACCAAAAGGAAAGAGTGTAATTGCTAGTTTAGCCACCAGTGTGAACAAAGGATAGCCAGGAGGATGGGCAACCTATGGAAAAATAGCAACAGTTAGAAGACTTTCATCTAGGAAAAGAGTCACACCGACTTTAATTGAAAAGTATAGCCCTTTCTCAGGCAAGTAGAAAGATTAAGTGCCAATGACTAAATGTTTAAATAGTGGTTTCCTATTGTAATCCTCTTGTGCCAATACAAATAAATATTTTCTTTAGTGGATTTGGCAGTGTCTATCACATGGTGTGTCACCTGGAGAAAGGGTGACATATTTCATTGTCGGTTCTCAAGCAGTTTGTTCTCTAAGTTCACAGTACATTAGGGTCATTTAAAAGGCTCTTGAAAAAAAGCAGATTCTGAAATATCGTATTGGTTAGAAAGTTGAAAGACCACACTGCTATGGGATTACCACCATGCTGACAGTCGTAAGGTCTTGCCTAAAGGGATCATGCACCATAATAAAGTTTATTAAATAATAAACTTATTAAAACTGTTAACCCGATTTATTTTATTCTCCACAGCTTATACAAAATTTGGGGTGATAATAAGCCAGCCACTGTATATATAGTAAAGGCTTTGCTTTATAATTTAGTTTAATTGGATTTAAAACTTAAAGTAAATTGTCACGTACTGTACTTATAAGTTACTAAAAACTAGGGTTTGAAAATAAATTAATCTACTTTACTCCATGCTTAATTAAACTTTCTTAATTCCTAAAACTGTTAATGAGAGCATTGATTAAACAATAAAACTAATACTTACTCCAAGCTCATGTGCGGCTGTGATCAGTTCCCCTGTGAAAAAATAATGTAAAACCAATAATTACTATTAGAGAATGACACTCCTCCAAAGTTTTCAAAATCCAAATGCTTGCATTGGGGTTTTGCATTAATTTGACTGGATAAAACTGTAAATCTGTAGAGATTTAACAGCATGAAATAGTCAAAGAATATTTTCTCTGTTAGGTCTTATTGAACAAACTATGTTTGATAGTTTTCAATAACTGGTCAGTGGAAATACAGGTGAATTTCCATTATATTTTCCCTCTTGAAAGTCATATTTACTTGAAAATACACAAATACTTTTAGAGAGCATTAGTATAATGTGCTGTATTGTCTCTCAAGAATTTAGCACAATAGTTTACAAAGATACAATTTATGTCAAATGTGCAAAGGTCTGAAGTCTGATAATTTATAAAATGTGCCATATAACCTTAATACTGGCATTTGCATACATTTAGATATTTTAAAACAATTTCCACCTAGGTTCTTTTGATAGGTTCTGCTATAATACATTTTTTTCCAATCAGTAAATTATTATATGCTTTATAGTTCCTCATTGTTAGCATTATTTCTAGAATTATGATGCAGTAATTCAGTGCTTATTTGTTATTAGTTTAAGTATCCAGAGCATAAGGACTATTTCTGACTCATCTCTATACACTGTAGTATATATTAATGTAAGAAATCGGTCAATATTGATGATTTGTGATTAGTATTACATGATAGGAAAAGTACTAATGTCTGTTTTTTGTACTTCAGTACGTACCAATATTCTACTTTTAATTTCTACTGCCCCAGGTACAATTAGACTTTACTTGACCAACCCACTTTATCTGCATACTGAAATTGCTTAGTATGGCTTACTATACTTATTAAGACAAATAAGCTGGATTATATCTCCAGTATAAAATTTCTCAATGACTAGTCTCTACTTACTGAATTAAGTTCAGATTCCTCAGCAAGACATTCAACTCTAGGTTGCAAGGTCCCTTTGCCAGGCTTATCCATCAATCCAGGCTCATCTCAGTGAAATCTGAATACCTAGTGTTCCTCTGGAGTGGTCTTCTTTGGCACCTCTTAGCACTCATTTTCTCACCATGGAATATTTCCCCAGCATTCTCTCCTAAATCCTTCAGGCCTAGTTCAATTGCCACCTCCTCAATGACACCTTTCCTTACACAACTCTCTCCAGCTTCCCCCATTAGAAATAATCACTTCTTTCTCCTTACAGAGCTTGCTTGAGTCTGTTTAGCACTTTAGATTGCCTTATATTCTGGCTAGTTATTTTCATTTCTCTCTCCCACTAAGTTTAAAAACATTATCTTAGCCATTTCATGATCCTGCCAAGACATCCCTATCTCCTCCTCCTCTGGCCACACAATCTAACTCAAGCCCTGAACATAGAACTTGATCAAAAGATATACTACATTGTCATACTTGCTACTCAAGACACTTACCTCATTCTTGGGTAAATGACTGCAAAATAGAAGTCCTTTAAGGGTTCCAAAGACATCTACTGCCCACTTAAGTAAATTACCTGAGGACTTTTTTGTTTTGTTTTGCACTGGGGGTTGATCCCAGGGATGCTTTACCACTGACCTAATTCCTACTTTAGGACATTAAAAAAAATCTCTGGAGATACTCATGAGTAGAAATCAAGGTACTTTTTGAATCCTAAATATTTCCTTTTAAATAAATTATTTATGGTCTAAAAATATTCAGGATAATTTTTCCTTTTATAACTACTCAAGTATAGTTTTCTCCTTAACAGGTTAGCTCTTACGTCTGCTATTCCAAACTCTTTTGATAATTTTTTTTCTTGTTATTCTTATATCTGTATGACAAAGTATGAGTTCAAAATTTTGCAATCATTATTCATTCTCTTCCATTCATTTTTTTGTACTGGGGGTTCAATCCACAGGGCATTTTACCACTGAGCTACATCCCCAGTCCTTTTATTTATTTATTTTATATTTTTTAGACTTTTAGATTAGGACTAAGTTGCCAAGGGTACCTTCAAACTTGTGATCCTCCTACTCCTGCTTCAGGAGGATATGCCATAGAACCCAGCTGTCCTGACCCTTTAAGCTGGTGTTTCTTCAAAGTTAAGTCCTACTTACATTGGAACTACATGATCATTGTTTGATGGAAGATTTCTTGATCTTACCCAGAAACTTGGGTCCCTTTGGGACCAAACTTGATCAAAAGACATACCACATTGTCATACTTGCTACTCAAGACACCTTTGGAACCCAAGTTTTCCAGGCAACTATGGGACCCATAGTTTTGTTATCTAGGAAGCAAACTGGTGCAAGCTCAGAGTTGTCTAGAGATGCTTAATGTTTATAAAACCCAGTTCCCTTCATATTTCTTTTTTCCTCATATTTCTTAAATGTTAATTATATTGTTATAATTTAACAAAGCCACACAATGCCATGGGTTTATGCAGTATAACTTAAGACTTATTGGGAAGAAGAATACATGCATTATTTTGTTTGAGACGTGTTCTGTTTATTGATAAGAAAATTATTTCATAAATATTCAAGTAGAGCAGTACACTCAATACACAAACAAAATGATCAAAGATATGATTAAACAAAGTTTCCATACTGGTATATAGATGAAAAACAGTTTACTTATTCCCCAAAATAAACATAAAACTATTAGAAGCAACCACTATTGAGTATCAAATTAAGCAAATGAGAACACCTAAAAAAGTTTGGGGAATATATACCTTTATTCTTTTGAGGAAAAATACTTCATTAATAAAAACAAGATCACAGCCATAGGTTTTTTTTTTCTTTTTCAGTACTGAAGATTGAATCTAGAGCCTTGTGCAGAGTAGGCAAGCACTCTATCACTAAGCTACATCTCCAGCTCTTATTTATGATTTAAAAATTTTGAGAGAGGATCTCAATAAGTTGCCAGGATGGCCTTGAACTTGTGATCATCCTCCTCAGCTTCCAGAGTAGCTGGGATTACAGGTATGAGTAAACAACCATAGATTTTAAACAGACTTTAAATATTATTACATCTGTGATGGTGGATGTAACAAAGTATCTCATAAAATTCTTTGACAGAGTATAGGTTACCAGTGCCTGTTCTAAAGGCCATCTACTTGGGTTCTTTCCCTGACAGCACTGACTTACTGTGACTTTGGACATAGCTTAGCCTTAGGTTTCTCATCTACAAGAGGAAGGTAATAATAGTACCTACCTCAGAGTACCTGAAAGGGCTAAAACATCAGTCCATAAAAAGCATTTGGTACAGTGCCTGGCATAGTTAGCGCTCACTAAATGTTCTTATTCATCCTATCCCATACTAAGGCTCAGACAACTATATGTAGCTGTTTTAAAAACAGGTAATAAAACTATCTAATCTTTGAATAGTGCACTCCAATGTTAAAACTCACATCCACAAAGCTACTCCCACTATTTAATATAAATCTTGGAAACCTCCATTCCCTCGTACACTAATGAACTACTGAATAGGACCTGAAAGAAATTGGAAAGGTAATGAATAGAAAAACAGAATGTTGGGGAACTTCAATGTGGTAGACAGCCTTGAAGACAGCTCCCAATAATCCCCAACTCCTGGAATTCCCACTTGTGTAATCCTCTCCCCCTTGAATGTGGGCTGGATTTACTGAGTCCCTCGAATAAAACAGGGCAATGGCATAACACTTCCAGGATTAGGTTACAAAATGACAGGTGTCAGACAGAAGTGCCCTATCTCTTTCTTTTGACATGTCAGCTATTTTATAGAGAGAACTGAATAGCTTGGAACTAGGTTGAGTTTAGAAGCAGATTTTCCTCAAATGGAGCCTCCAGTGGACTGTGGCCCCAGACCACACCATGGCTGCAACCTTGTCCTACATAGTGCACCTGGCTAAACTGCACCCATCTTCTGAATCTACCCCAATCGGGAGATAATAAACGTCTGCTGCTTCTAGCCACTAAATTTGGGGTAATATGTCATCCATTTCTTGAGGATAGAGATTTACTGCCTAAAGTTACAGCACTGTTCTGAGTCAATTACTGCCAATTATAAGGCATTACTTGGATGATCCACTTAATTTGGTAGTAAAACAGAAACAAAACCGAGACTTTGTTTCTAGTCTCAAATACAGAACAAGAATGAATGTGATAGAAAAGGCCCAGGAGTCGTGCTTTTCCTTTTAATAGAAGCTGCTTAAAGCCACATCTGATCCCACTTTTTTAAAGGGTTCTCCAAATATTCTGCACGATTCTTTGTCAATACTCTGGTTTCAACTAAAATATCACCTCCTCAGAAGACTCTCCTGACGAGCTATTCTGAGACTCACTCTCAATCACGTTTCCCTCTTACTGTCTCCAGGATTTGTAACTTGTCTCTAAGCACGCTAGAATGCTCTCAGGGAATCTATTCGCCCTTGCTGTTATTTCCTTTTGTCTGAAACACGAGGGCTCGTTAAGTAACATAAGTGGACTAAAGGGGAATGGTGAGTAAAGTCAGGGTCGGAAAAAACGACCTGGGGAAGTGGGAAGGTCGGTGAACCCCGTCTCGAGAAACCCACAGGAGCCCTTTCTCTAAAGCCCAGGAACTAACGAAACCAGAGTCGCTGGCATGGAAGAACTGGTTCCGAAGCATGAACCCCGCGCTGCAAACCAGCGGGTGCATGGGAGGCCCGAGCCCACTGGACTGAATCAGGAGCGGCGGCCGCGGCTCTTCCCGCAGTGGGACCAGGGGAGAGGGCGGGAGGGGCGGCCTGAGAGTACTTTACCCGAGTCTCCCCCCGGCACCGAGGCGGGCAGCGTGAGGGTGAACACAGAGGCTACAGCGGCGAACACCGTGACGCCGCCGCCGAGGCCCCCGGAGCGCCGCAGCCCTGCTCCGGCTGCCCGCCCCCCACCCCTGCCGTCGCCATGGAGACCCATGGATTCGGATGGACAGAGGACGCGGCTGGCCCACAGACTCCGCGCGGAGCCCACAGTCCCCGCCGAGAGGCGAGCGCAGCCCGCGCTGCAGCTTCCGGGTCGAGCCTCAGCGGCCGGGTGCGCCTTTCCCGCCCGGTGGGGGCGGAAAACCGGCCAGGCATGCGAGAGCCAGGTCTGGGAACTTTCTAGTCACCATCACGAGTAGGAACGTGCATCCTCATCTTGTGCTCTAAAGTGACCAATTACGGTGGGGAGCATCTCTAAAGAAAGCGAGCCTGTACCGTTCCTGTGGCAATTGTCCCCCCCCTGCCATACTGACTTGGTCGGTTCTGACAGAGACAGAAGCGGAGTTGAAAACCGCAAGCGAGGAAGGGCTGCTTCTGCCACCTGTGGTGTGGGGTGGAACTGCACGAGAGGAGCTAGCCAGGAGCCGATGGAGACCCTCAGTACCACCACCTTGAAGGAACAACACGGTATGAGGGAGCTAGGAAGTGGAGCCTTCCCCATTTTAGACCTGAAATGACTATAAGCCCTGTCAAGAACTTGATTGCAGCCCGTGAAAGTCCCTGAAGCTGATGACCCAACTAAGCCAGACTGCTGTCCCAGAGACATAATAGATGTTGTAAGTTTTTTGGTTTTGTGTGTGTGTGTGTGTGTGTGTGTGTGTATAGTTGTAGTTGGATATTTTATTTATTTTTATATGGTGCTGAGGATCGAACCCAGCGCCTAGCGAGCGCTCTACCACTGAGCCACAACCCCAGCCCCTAATAGATGTTGTTTTAAACCAATAAATTTGGGGTAATTTGTTAATCGACAGTAGAGAACTAAGATAGGCTGTCTAATATTTCTTTTCCAAAAGCGCATGCAAGTAAATAATTCTGAGTGAACCAAGCATGTATTTCTTTATTTCCTTTTTTGTCCATTTCATGTTTTGCTTTTGAGCTTTATAAATAAATAAAAATAAACTTTTATTTCAAAAGAGAATAATTCTTTGCCCATGTTTGGGAGGTAGAAATCAGAACTGGAAATAGAAATTTGGGAGTTATGCATATATAGATGATATGACTAAATTGGCAAAGGCATAGTGTATGTAACAAGAACAAGGTTGAAGTTTAATGTTAGCCGGTGTCTTTAGTTAGGGAATGGCAGAAGAGACAAGAGTGGAGGAGAGTAAGGTGACATAAGAAGCTAAGAAAGAAGTAATGACAATGACGTTTATGTAGTCGGGATTTGACAGAGGTAAAGGATGATGAAGAGGGGCACATCTAGATTTTATAGGGTTTGAATTTAAACAATTTGGAGAATTCCTTAAACAAACAAATACAAAATGGCAGACACAAATTTAAGTTCAAGGCCTATTCTTGTAGGAGCTGTGAAACCTAAGTTTCTTTAGATTCCTGGTTAATTTTTTGGTTTTTGAAAATGAAGAAATGTAGTTCTCTGTAGCTGACTCCAAATCTCATTAGGCCCATGTCGTTCCTATTCTATTCTATTTTATTTATTTTAATGTAGTGCTGAGGATCAAACCCAGTGCCTCATATGTGTGAGGAAAGCACTCTACCACTGAGCCAGGACCCAAATCCCGATCCTTCCTATTATAAAGCATTGTTTTCTCTGGGCTCCAGTGACAGCACGCTGCTTTGGGTTTTCCTTTACCACTGGCCTGTCTTCCCTGGTGCTGCTTCCATCAAAAATCTAAATGATGGACTGTAGCAGGGCTATTTTAGACTTTCCTTTCTTTCTGCCTTCTTTCCCAAGGATTTTATTGAAGATTAAATAGTAACATCAAAGTAATATCTCTCAAAACTATACTTCTTCACTGGGCGTGGTGGCACATGCCTATAATCCCAGTGACACAGGAGACTGAATCAGGAGGATGGAAAGTTTGAGGCCATTCTCAGCAACTTAGCAAGGCCATAAGCAACTAAGAGAGTCCCTATCTCAAAAAAATAAAAAGGGCTAGGGATGTGACTCAGTGGTTAAGTGCCCTGGATCCAATCCCTTGTACTAAATAAATAAATAAGGGGCTAGGCACATATCTCAGCAGTAAAGCACCCCTGGGTTCAATCCTAGTACCAAAAAAAAAAAAAAAAAAAGACACACACACAAAATAAATAAATAAAAAAACTACACCTCCTCAATTTCTTCTTTATCCTCAAAATACCCATGTGGACCCTGACTTCTCTATGTTTAAACACTTTTTAAACTTGGTGAATTTTGTCTTTTTTCCACTGTCTATAAAATGGTGCCTTCGATGGGGTAGAGAGAGAAGATGGGAGGGGAGGGGAGGGAGGATAGTAGAGGATAGGAAAGGTAGCAGAATACAACAGTTACTAATAGGGCATTATGTAAAAATGTGGATGTGTAACCGATGTGATTCTGCAATCTGTATTTGGGGTAAAAATGGGAGTTCATAACCCACTTGAATCTAATGTATGAAATATGATATGTCAAGAGCTTTGTAATGTTTTGAACAACCAATAAAAAAAGAAAAAAATGGTGCCTGACACAAAGTAGGTGCTTAAATATTTATATAATAAATGAAAGAATGAACAATGAGAAGCCACTTATGTATCCATTCCAGACTTCATTAGGCTACTAGTAACAGACCCTGCTACAGTGGCTCAAACATCTAAGCATTTATTCTCTCATGAAAAAGATGTTAGAAGCCAGGAGGAATTCAGTCTGATTCTGGTTTGGCAATTTTCTGATGCCCTAAGGACAAAACTCAGGTCTATATATCTTTGTACACCATTCCACTCAGTTTATACCCTCAAGGTTAAGTCCTGACTTACTGACCTAAGATAGCTGCTAATGCTCCAGACATTACATCTCTACTTGAGGAGAAAAGAGAAATGGAAAGAAACATGTTCCATCTTTTTAAATTCAGAGTGTTCT